AAATTCTGTTTAATGTAGTAGAAAAACAATGTATACATAGTTAGAGATAACAAATTATAGTCAAATTCATAAAATTATTAGAAAATATATATCTCTACACACCAATTTTCATCTAGCTAATACACACCTATTCTAATCAAAATAAATTTTAAAACAAAAACAAATATGCCATTATCGACGCGATTCTCGCTTGCCACAGTTGTCTACAACCACGTCCGTGAATTTCCCTTAAGCAGAGAGAGAGAGAGAGAGAGAGAGAGAGAGAGAGAGAGAGAGAGAGAGTGTCTAAACACACACACACGCTATCTATAGAGGCTACCCGAGAACACAGCTGACAGCCCGTTCGACCATTAGGCTGTGAAAATTACCTCCCGTGAACAATGAAAAAGAATGGACTCCGCTATCAATGCCAAACCGATAGGCAGTCAGCCGGATTAAGCATACTTCTTTTTCACACTCTCATATCACACCTCGTACATCGTACATTCAAACGCTACACTATACGACTTACCAGAGACATTTTCATATCTTGTAAATGAAAATAAATCTTTGGTCATTTCTCCAAACCAGTCTCTAAATTGTTTCTTTACTCCAACGAACTTCCACCTCGGATCATTTGTATCTGAAAGCTGATGGTATCCAATCGTGTTATTGTGCTCTCTCTGTCTGTTGTCGTTTCCGTTGGAATAAATGCTTTCAGAGTACAATTGAGTGTGATATGTCAAACAATATAGACATTTTTTTTGTTAAATATATAAATTTACAGAGAAAAAGGACAAGTATAAATATTTCAAAAGGAAAAGACGTCAACAACACATTTTTGAAATATGTCAACTGATATGGTCATTGATTCCTTTTGAGGTGCTTGCTTCTTCAATTGGTCATTAAAGGCATTGTGTTCCACTGGTTATTTTTCTAAATATGTGTTTCGTAATACACAAAATCTTGGAAAATAAAGTTGATGGTCTTGACATTAACTTAGTCACTAGTACATTCCGAAAGCACGATTATTATGGGGATTTTCTAAGCGTAGCTTGCATATGGCACAATGCCAAAAGCATAAGGCACCCAGTTAGTATCGAACTGACTACTTAGTCGTAGTTGTGCTAGCAAGACACGTTTGCTAACCATTAAAGCACGTAGAGGTACACAAAAGGACGGTTATTATGAACCACCATCATTTTAAAAATTTCTTTAGTTCACAGGGAAGGTCCTTGTATTTTAATTTTTATTTTTCTCTCATCTTCACGCAGTTGTCTCTTGGAACAGGCATATTTATGACGAGCTGGCAGATCTCCCCAACATCCAAATCCGGATTCTTGCTTTAATATGCATGTCGAAGTTCCAGAGCATTTTACTTTCGGCGACAGTCTCTGATTTGTATTCTTGTCATTTGTTCTTCGTTTATAGGAAATTAATTTTTGTCGTCCTTTTTTCCTCCACTTTGGAGCTAGCTTTCTATATCCCCTTATGTTGCGTTTTACATTTGGATGTTTTTTCTCCACAAAGTCAACAGGTTCGTTTTCTGACTTTTTGTCTACGATATTTTCTCTTTTGTATTTTCCATACATTTATTTTCTTTCCTTTATTAAAGCTTTTGATTCTTATTACTGACATTTGCTGAGAACAATTCGGAATAACGTTTTGCTATTTTTCCGTTTTTTTTCTTTTCCCTTTCATCGTTTTCCTGACAAAAGCAAGTTAAATACTTTACCAGACGTTAATAAAATAGTTGAGACCTATCGTTCGTTGGGGTATGGAAAAATAGAATGCATAGAATTTTATATAATATAACAATGATTCAATGAATTCTAAACAATGCCATTTGCATTATTGTCTGCGGTGGGGAGTTAGGATACTTCCTCTTTTGTGATCACTTTCCGAGTGAATACTTGCAGACGCAACTATAAACCTGAAATATGTTTAACTAGACAAGTACTAACACAACTAATACTGAACTATTTCTACTGCTATATACTGGATTATCTCGCAGAGTTCTTCCTTTTAATTTAATTATAGATAATATAAGTTACGTATCGTAAATATTAACTCACCCTAAGTAATTATAAATTTTAAATCAAAGTTAGTTTGTTTTTTTGGCACTCTTTTGAAATTATAAATTTTAAATCAAAATTTGTTTAACTTGCCTCGAAACAACTCAAAACGTCAAAATGAAAAATTACCAAAAATCAGGGAGTTATTCACATTGCGTAAGTACTGATGATTTTCGAGGTACTTACAAGGAATTTTTACAATTAAAAAAAAAATCCGTTTTTGGCTTGTTTATCGGAGTGAGCGCGAACGTTGACCCCACACTTAGAAATAGCGCAACCGAGTCGCCCACAATTGGGCCGATTGCATAGAGCAACCCAACCGGAGTGCAATGGAAGGGTCTCACTGTGGGAGAATTTGGTGAAAATTTTAGTAAAAATAAATTCTTTTTAATTGGGCGTTAATATTTTGGGATGAATTAACAGAAAAGATCCATCTCACGAGATAATTGTAGATCTTTTTCGATCAAAATTCAGTCCGTTTATGAGTGACTTAGTAGTTTTTATATGGCAGGTATACAGGTGGAACAGACAAAGTAGGAAATGTGAAAGAAAGGTATTATTATACGTATTATTGTTCTCCCTGCTTACTGCGTTGTCTCATGATCATCAACTGATACTTTCTCTTTTCTCGCCTTTCATTACTCCTCCTTAAACAGCATTACACTAGCTGCTGTGATCGTTTGTTAGCTGCTTCCAGCTACAAGGATCAACACCTGAGTTTCTATGAGTTTACCTATAGGCTCAAATATAAACTCGAACTATAAACTATATTTACATATAGACTCAAGTATACGTACCTCCACTTTTCGCAGGAAAACAGTAACGTAATGAAAAAGCCACAAACTTAATAAAAATAAGGTTTTATCGTCAAAATGTTTGATATTATTAAAATGAAAGACCAAAGTATTTTTTGATCATTTAAAAATTTTTTTAATCCTTTCTAACATGTTCGAAATTTTGCTAAAAGACTTGTTTTGTTTACGTCATCGCGGTGACATAATAATAACATTGACTTTTTGCGCTTTTTTCCGTTGAAAACACATTGATTTGGAAATTCTTGGAAAAATCAAATAATTTTCCCATTTTAATGAAATTATCAGGACTTATTCAAAAATGAATGTAATTATTTTTGAAATTTTTTTGTTTAGAAAATTTTGATAAAAATACTTTTTTTTACATATGCTCCCCCCGGCCCCCATTTACTTAATTTCATGATCTTTCACAAAATACCTTTCTATTTCCTGAATCTTTTATTCGTTAAAAGTAGAAGTCCTTGGAGATTGTAAATCACCTATTTTTTTTTCAAATTTGCACTAATCTAACTGAAAATCTGTTCTGAAATGAAAAATAATAAGTGCAATAAAACTATGACATTATTTAATTAGAAAAGCTTTTAATTGCTTTTTTAAGTAAGTTATATTAAGGACACTATTGTCTGAACAAATAAAATTTTTCCGATGAATAATGAATTTTTACAAGATATTTTTCATTTTTAAAAAATTTTAATTATAAAAATTTATAATAGTTTAAAAATCGTGTAAAATTCTGTATTGGGCTGGCTATTTCCTGGATGTGATATAGTAATTAAATAGAAACTAAATTTACGAATCTAAAACTGAAACGACTAATAAACATAGTTGCACTATTCTATTTTTAAAATATTTATTTTATTTTTTTTACTTAATACGTTCCTTCTTTTTGGCTATGATAGACTCGAATTGACATTATTATGAAAAGGTCACGTGATCTAATAGTTTTGTCCCTTTACAGAGAAATTCGATCGTTACTGTTTCAACAGGTTTTCCCTTTAAGCTTTAAAAGTTTAAAATTTAAAGCAAGTTTTACTTTTTCAATTACAATTTCGCTAAATATTTTTATTTTATGTATTTACATTAGTAGTGCGGGTCAAGTGAGTAATTTTTTTTTAAATTTTAAGGAGAAACAAAAATTTTTTTTTGTAATTTTTTTAATTTTTTCAGTTTATTCCTTTTAATGACAGTTATTTTGATAAAGACGTTTAATTTAATTGTAAAATTAATGTTTAATAAATTTAAATTATTTTTAAACTTTATTTCATTCATATTTGAAATTAGTTTTCGGAAATTTATGTTAATTCGGGTCATCCATAACTAGCTGTCATCACTTCGTCATTCAATCGTACATCAATTATTGGTTCAGTAAACAGTACCAATCATTAACAAATGGCTGTATATTAATTTTTTTATGCTATAAGTAAGTAATATTTATTTCAAATCAGATTAATTTAACTTTAGATTTTCTAATTTTACGAATTTAATTTTAAATTTTCTAATTTTACTCAAATTACGTGTCAGAAATATATATATATTTTGGGAAGAATTGTAAAATCGATAAATTTGTTTTGTTTACAAATTTTTTTAAAATTAAGAAAATGGCCGCTTTTAAGAAAATTTTAAGAAATCAAAATTAAATTTGACATTCTAATGATTAGAATGTCAAATTTAATTTTGATTTGATTAGAATCTAATCTATCTAATTTCTATCTGAAACACACCAGAATATTTTACTTACCGCATTTTCCGGATTATAAACCGCGACTTGTTCTCTATGTAGGGTGCGGGTTATATAACGGTGCAGGTCATATATGAATTGTGTCTTCGAACCTCGAGTGACCGGTGTTAGGGTTAAGGGAACATAGCTTCAGAAAAACCGGTCGACAGCGTCGAACCAGTTATGTCCAGATAGTTGAATTTATAGGGGTGCGTGTTATATACAGGTGCGGACTATAGTGCGGAAAATACGGTACTTGAAATAATAAATTTAATCATTTAGCTTTTGATTACAGCTAAAATGAAATCTTGAAGAATGTTTTTTTTTTTCATTTTTAAAAAAATCATTTTTAAACTTTATGTATCGAAAATCTATGCCGAAATAGTGGAGGTATCTACTCAAGTATATCTACTCAAGTATATCTACTCAAGTATATCTACTCAAGTATATCTACTCAAGTATATCTACTCAAGTATATCTACTCAAGTATATCTATAAAAAGTATATCTACTCAAGTATATCTACTCAAGTATATCTACTCAAGTATATCTACTCAAGTATATCTATAAAAAGTATATCTACTCAAGTATATCTACTCAAGTATATCTACTCAAGTATATCTACTCAAGTATATCTACTCAAGTATATCTACTCAAGTATATCTACTCAAGTATATCTATAAAAAGTATATCTACTCAAGTATATCTACTCAAGTATATCTACTCAAGTATATCTACTCAAGTATATCTACTCAAGTATATCTATAAAAAGTATATCTACTCAAGTATATCTACTCAAGTATATCTACTCAATATATATCTACTCAAGTATATCTATAAAAGTATCAAGTATATCTACTCAAGTATATCTACTCAAGTATATCTATAAAAAGTATATCTACTCAAGTATATATCTATATCTCTCAAGTATATCTACTCAAGTATATCTACTCAAGTATATCTATAAAAAGTCTTGAGAAAATAACCCATCAGTGGTTTTGTTGTTCATCAGATTTTCTTCTGGCAGCCATCTTAGCAGGTCTTTTTTGTCAATGTTCATTTGTTATTAAGACTTTTTTTCTCGGAAAAAGAAATACTTTTGTTCAGCTGTATCGATGAGAATATGTCTGAACTCACATCAACAAAGCATTCTGAACATCACCTCCATTGGCGGAAAAAAGTGAAACAAAAAAAACTTGAAGCAGTTTCGTTTAGCAAGAGAGCCTATTTTTTATTCACATTTTTATCTCAGGGCGTAAATCTCTTGAGAGACATCGGATAACACCATAAGAATGAGAGGGGTCAACAATGCATGACACAAGTCATCGGTGTCCACCCTCCTGACATGTTTTTTTCTGTCTCTCTCAGTTGAACGACATTATTAAATCGAATGTGTCATTCTGGCTAGCTACGTCAAATGGCTGAGAGCTGAGGTTGGAATTGAAAAGCTTGATTTGTTGGCGAAATCCAGTGTCTTGTGGTGGATATATGTTGCATACAAAAGACCTATTACAAATATGTTTCGGATCATTAAAATATATTCTTAACAAAGAGATTCCTTTGGTCTTTAACCAAACTTATAACAAGATTGATCGTAATTGGTATCTGTTTGTGGCTTTCTTAATTTTAAGAGTCTTTATAAGCTGTCGCAACACGAGAAAGTTCAATCATATAAATTTAAATATGGTCGACATATAAAGATGTATATTTAATGCATAGCATATTATTGAATTAAAATATTAGGTTGTCACACCTGAAATGACGCACCTTATAGGAAATGAATAAAACGATTCTGAAATGTTAAATAACTAATTTATTGAGTTGAAATAGGTACCATGTGGATGAATGACTGTTCTCCAACCTACCTCTAAATTCTTGATCTCATCTTTAAAAAAATTCTCATCCTTTGATTTGATAAACAGTTCAAATGCTTCGATTACCTCTTCCTTATTGAAGAATGTTTTATTGTGTATGAAAAGAAAAAAATGCTTAAATAAGTAATAACCAGTAGGACAGATATCAGGTAAATATGGAGGGTGAGACAAAATTTCATAATTCACATTATGCAGCTTTTGAACAGTTGATTGAGAAGCGTGCGACTATGCGTTGTCGTGCAGCAAAATTGGACCATCCCTATTCACAAGTTTAGGATGATTGTTTTTCAATTTTTCCTGCATGCACTCAATTTCTCCACAATATGAGGTTGCTGTTATTATTTTCCCTTGAGTCAAGAATGAATAATGAATAACCCCTTTGAAAGACCACCATACAGTAACCATTATGTTTTAAGGCGTAATGGAGGTTTTCAGTACTGTTTTGGTGATTCACTTTCCTCTAACCACTGGCCTACCTACACTCTTACTGCTGTTTCTCATGGCATGTAATGTTTCGATACAAAAATGGTTCTTTTTCTCAGTTTGTACTCATGCAGAAAGATGGCTCGACATTGTTTCATTGTAATAATTTTCATTAGGCTTATGAGTAACAATATATTGAAAGAAAAATTATCTGGAAATAAAAAGAGGAATTAGTTAAGACTTTTATATAATAAGGAGCTATTACCTCCTCTTCCTCTGAATATCAGTTAAACATCACATGGTCAAAAGTTCTATGACCGCTGATCAACTCTCCAAATTAGTTATCCGAATGTTCATTCCTGGAATAAAATTAACAGGAAATCAGAACCAGGACTTTTTTTTTAATAGGAGTAGATAGGCATTCCTATCGCCGTGTCCATATTCTTCCCTCTTCTCTTGAACAGGAGTAGAGGCTCATACTTTGTTTCCGATTCCTTACCCTTTCCCAAGCCTTACTAGTGTTTGCAGTCTGCGCCAGTTCCCTTCCCGCACATGTTACACTAGACGACCGACTGCTATTACTACCTTAGGCCTTTCATTACCAAAGTAACGCACTATGACTATAAGCCACCAAAGATATAAAACTAAACCAGCTCAACAAAAAACACCAAAACCCCTCAACATTTCTTTCTCCAACATTCGTGGTACTCCTACCAACTTCTGCAGTGGTGAATCGTTCCTCTTCGAAAAGTTTCCGGACATGCTAGCTCTCTCCCTTATCCATTCAATCCCCTCCTCGATTCCTGGCTATCTTCATCTCCTTAGAATGGTCTATAATGCCTACATGCATGGTCTGAAGTTTATATTCGTGAATATCTTCCGCTGGCTAGGAAACTCTCTCTTGAATCTACACACCATTCTTACATATGTCTCCGTCTGTATCTACTTAACTCAGTCAGCTATCTCTTCTTTCTCTACCGTTCCCCTCCCTCTCATGACTGTTGCGTGATAAGTAATATTTTCGATAATATAGACAAGGTCATCTCCCTACATCCGTCTGCAAATATATTTGTGTTCGGTGATTTTAATGCTCACAATGGCAAGTGGCTTAAACACTCTGTAACTGACCCCGCTGGAATCACTCAATCACACACGCAAGTGGTGGACTCCCCCAGGTGTTCCCCCCTGTAACCCTGATGGGTATGCTTCTCTTCTGTATTTCTTTTTTACCTCTATCCCAGATCCATGTCATATTTTGCAGCTCTGTCTTCTTGGCAACACCGATCATGTGGTAGTGACTGTAAATATATCTTTCCGCTCCCCGACCAGCCAAGTACCTCCTAACAACAGAATATCTTTCTGTTATCAACGTTCCGTGACGTCTCTTGGAATGCAGTTTTTAAACTTTCTGTTCAAAAATTCGTGTCTGATGTCTTCTCCTGGATGAAAGCCGACATCGATGGTTTCATTCCACAAGGAAATATCAAGTTCTTCAGTGATCTCTTTGGTTCTCACCTGCTAGCGTAGCCGCTATAGCCCACAGGAATCACTTTTTCCGACTGTACCAGAGTAACACTTCTGATTGTAAAAGATATCTCTTTGTCTCTGCTCGTAACAGGTACAAGCGTGTCCTCAATGAAGCGAAGTTACTGTTAAAATAAAACAACGTATAGCATCTCTGGCGGCTCTGCAAGAATGAGCTGAACAATAACAAATCCTCAATTTTATTCAATCAATTTGATTTTCTGACATCTACAACAGATAAGGTTGAATGTTTTGCTAGGAAATTATTTCCGACTCAACACTCGATTGGAGTACCCATACCTGATTTCCCTCCTAGAACTGAGGCTCTGTTGAGTGATATGCTCATAAACCCGTCTCATAGATTATTTTAAAGGCAAGCGGAGGTGATGGGATCCCAGCCGTTGTCCTAAAGAAATGCTCCCGAGTTGGCTCCAGTTCTCCCCATACTTTACAACTGTTGCTTCGCTGATTCCTTCTTTCCTGCTTCTTGGAAGTCCTCCTCTATAGTTCCTGATTTTAAGAACTCTGGAGAATCTTCTGACCCCTCTAACTACCGACCAATTAATCTCCTACCGCTTTTCGGCAAGTTATTCGAGATTTTAATCGATGCTGAAGTGGTTAAGCAATTTACCTCTCACTGCTTACCCTCTGACAAACAATATGCCTTCCGTTTTACCAGATCTACCGTTGATGTACTAACGGCCATCACTGAATATGTATATCAAGCTCTTGATAATAACGGCGAAGCTCAAGCTGTGAAGGCGTTTTACAGTGTTTAGCACGCTGATATTTTCTGTAAGCTCCAGGGTTACGGTATTACTGGACGTTTGTTTGATTTAATCCAACCATTCTTATCAAATCGTAAGACGAACGTCATTTTGAAAGGGCTCGCTTCTAGATCCTTTCACACGAACGTCTCTCAAGGCTCTATTTTGGGTCCTACGCTGTTTCTGATCGTCATCAATGATCTTCCTTATATCATCTGTTCCCAAGTAGATATTTATGCTGATGACATTACTATTTACTCCTGTCTCAATAAAAAATCGGTTAGAGTTGTCAAAGTAAACCTAGCCGCTGGTCTTGAAAGGGACGTCCAATCAGTGGTTAACTGGGGCAAGAAATGGCTCGTAAATTTTAATGCCTCAAAAATGAAACTGCTCTCTTTTAAACACCATAGAGAAACTTTCCTTCCCACCATATCGTAGCTTATGCTAGACTCATGGACAGCAACACACCGCGCTTTCTTGGCCTTACGTTTTCAACTGACTTGAAGTGGGACGACTACAGCTGTGTCTACTGCAAGGAAAATTGGATCACTGTGTCGTGTCAGAAGGTTTGTCTCGTCAGAGTCCATCTTGCCCATTTACAAATCTACCATTCATCCGTGCATTAAATAATGTTGCCATATCTAGCCAGGTGCTCCTGGATTCTTGACAAAATCCAAATAAGGATCTGAAATGTAATTGATCCTGACTTGTTATCTCGACTTCCGCCACTTTCTTACCGACGCGACGTGGCTTCCCTCGGACTTTTCTACAAATATTTTCATGGCTACTGCTCTGACGAGCTTTTTTCCCTGGTGGCTGTTGTACACGAGTTTAAGCGTACTGCTAGATTGGCATCTAGGTCCCACCCTTTTACTGTTGAATTAGCTAAATCTAACCGCCACTTCTACTCCAACACCTTTCTCGCACTTCCCGCCTGTGGAACTCCCTTCCGTTTCCTTGCTTTCTTGATAACTACAATTTTCAAAAAAATTAAATGCAACGTCAATCGCCATTTTCCATTTTCTTGAATTCCGTTAAGCTTTTAATCCTTTCCTTGCCCCCTCTATCCAGTCTTTTCTCTCACCTTCACTCCCTGCGTACTCGTGGCATTCCCAACTTGCGAAGTGATTAAAAAAAAAAAAAAAGAAAAAATGTTACTTCGTTAGACGACCGGTTCAACAACCAAAAAAAGAATGCGTCATTTTACGTGTGACAACCTAATACAAGATTAAATATTTTTCTGTAGCATCTTCAGAAAAGAACATAACATTTAGTAGACGCGCTTGGAAAGAATATTATGAATAATAGAACATAAACGTTGATAAATTGTTTAAAGGTCCCAAGTACTCCACACAGAATTACGTGACACGTGACAATAGCCTAGTCGAT